CGAATGATGGCACGTAGGTCTCTGTGAGAATAAATCCAAAGATTTGGATGCGAATAACGCAGGAGGACAGTTTTTTGCGACCGCACCAGAGACGAGATCTGGAGTTTTTAGTCTTCACTAGCACAGCCAAAATGACCGTGCACCCCGTCCCCTCCAGCAACGACCAACTGTCTCCTGGAGCCAGTATGGACGAGGTAGGGGGTAATACACAGGTAGGCACCTTGTCAACATGCACATCAAGCGCAGCCACAGCGGGGATATCAAGCATCAGCCATTCGCTTGAAACGACAAAATGAAATAAAATAAATCCAATAATGCATACAGATACGGTGGCATAGCTCTTCGCTTAATTAGCATATGAATTATGTTGGTTAGCACCGAATTCGTGATATGTAAGAAATGTCCACAAGTTACTTAAAAATGCTACAAAGGCAACAAAGTTATCGAACATAAGCGCAATTAGTGTAAGCGACGTGGCCAGTTAATAGAAGCTTGTTCAGGTAGACAGAACAGAGCAAATAAAATGGAATGAAATTGATCCAGCTTAAAAAGACCTAGTTTAAGTGTAAGTTGGTTTAGCCTAACTGCGGTGAAGAAGCATCAAGAATGCAACATCAGCCTCAGCATGTGGCCTTATATGAGTAGAGGTAAATGACATCATTTCGGTCCTACTGTTGGCTACTTCGATCCACCTGCCAAGCACAATCAGTGGATTGGCAGTACATGACGGTTGCTGACGGGAGCCATGTGGTTCCAGTGCTATGTTGTTAGACCTCTCATCCTCAGACCATAAGGAAGAATTAATATTTAGTTTCTGTTTATAAAAATACTTCAGACCAAGAGAGGCTACATTTACTGCCTTAGACGGACGCCTAAGTTATATCGTTTTCGTTGGTCCCTCGATTACCACTATCGAGTGGTTGTCAACCATCTTCTTGGTACACAGTTGGAATAGCTAGAAGCCTGTAGTCAAATTATCCTTCCTGTAGCACTTTCCATGCAGTAAACCTTGTGCATGTGCTACCTAGTCTATCGTACACTACCACAGACTGTTCCTGAGTTTCGCTTGGAAGTAAATTTACGGTAATACAAACATTGTAGTGAGTGAATGAACTGTGAGCGAACGGGTAGTTGATCTGTGAGAAAATTAGCGATCTGGAATCTTTTATTTATAATGCTTTAAGGTATGAATTCCGTAAGGTTATGCATATGTGTAAACGATAGCTCAAAGCTAACGGTAGTATATTGCTTATCGGTAAAAACACAAATTTGTTTATTCATATATTTCAGTGTCGCCTGGGGCAATGTATCTGAAAAGCCTTACTACATTCCTTTTTGGAAACAATGTTAGTTGTGACACCCGAGTGTGTGTTTCCTCAAGGGTGGAGGAAGCACACGCACGCCAAAGCCTATTCCAATGATTAGGAAAATTTTAACAAATGTATCAACCAAACGGTAATACTAATCAATATGTTGTTTAGATCAGACTGTTTTTCGGTGTCTAGATTAAAGAACAGTCGTTAAGAAGCAAGTCATATACAAGCAAATATGTTTATCGTCATTTATTTAAATAAGTTACTTAATTACACTCCTTTATCGTAAAATCTTTGATTTCTGGAAATCAGTACTTCCTGATACAGCAATAGTATTTATGCACTGAAACGGACACTTCTATCTATTTAGTGATTGTTGCACAGGTAATATAAACGTGTAACATGATGCGTTTGTTTAGACAACTAGAATACTTAAGGCCGTTTGTCGGTCAATTAGGAAGCTTTATAAGTTGATATGCTTCCATTGGCCCGTAGACCTACTGAAGTTCAATGAAGCTTTAATGTAAACATGATGGATTGGTAATCAATATGAACCCGTAATAACGGTTAAATAGCAGGGGCCTAACAAATCCCCTAAGGTCGCGAGGCTGTGAACCATAAAATGGTAAACCAAACGTAGTGATAAAGTGAAAAGCGTTGTGGTGAAAAAACCGCAGTGACCACATCATGAACTGTTTTAAAAGTCTGTCCTGGTTATATTGGGTAATGCTGGTTGGTGCATTATTTGTCTCATTACATTGTCTTTCGGTGTACACAGGTTATATTTCATCAACGTCAAGGCTTATTTAAACACCTAACGTGTGGCCAATGCAGGGTAATTAAGGAGAGCGACTAAAGATTGACAAATAGGGATGGAGTATACGTTTCGGCGATTGCATTGCGTCAGCAACTTGAATTAGTGGCCCCACTAACTCGTGTTGTGAATGTGTTACATTGGATCGAAGCAGACTGGCTCGGAGTTCCTTAAGCCCCCCATACTGACCGCTGAATAATCTTAGGGTTCTCAGTCTAATTTGACATAATAGTTAGAACAGTCTTTCGACATACTCGGTGGCCTTTCGCTGTACAGTATTGAGCGCCGAGAGATCTTTCATTTGCCACGGCTGCCAAAACTTGATTGCTTATTTCTCCTGAAGGCACACATATTTATTAAGGATCTTCGGGTAGACAGACGGATCAGGCCCTTCGAATGTCATCCTCAGGATACCAAACGTGCTGACACCCAGTTCTTGAGGCTTTGTCTCATTGTACTGAGCAACTCAAATCAACCTCGATTAATACCCCAAGGTCGTGCTCTTGGGTGAATGCTTGTAGGATGTGATTCCCAAACTTGTAGATGAGGTTTGGCTGATGACGGATGTGCAACAGCTTTTATTTTGGACGAATTATAATGGAGTAGATTACAGATCGACCATTTAGACGCACTGTGCAGCATCTTTACGGAAGTTTAATTTTGTGTGGACAAATGCCCGAAAGAATTGAAACGGTGAAGACATCTCAGCGCAAGCAATTGACACCAGCCAGGAACCGATAGTCATTAAATAATTAACGATATTCTAATTGTGCGGCGTTTTAGTTTTGGTTTAAAACTTTAAGCATCTCCGACACAAGTACTGCGTGGACACAACTGATGGGCAGTTTTGAGTACTTTTTAACTTTCACTTTGTTGGTAAACAGTTTGCGAAACCAGAGTTATTAACTGGCGTGAGACATAAGCACATATTCTACATTAGTATTTTATCAGTAACCGCCTTTATTGAGTAAAACAGTAGTGAACCGAACAGCGCAGTTTCGTTGCCAAATAAACAGCATGGTATGTGTCAAACGTTTCTTGCTATTTGGCGAAACTTATGTCCCTACTGTCAAACCTTGTCTGGCAGAAGCTGTCTGCTGAAGAGTTCTGATGGGGCGCTTCCTCTCAACAGATGGAGCTAGGGCGAGAAAACAGTGAGGAAAATTTTCCGATAACGTGGACTTTTAAAGCGCAGTAATAGTTGCTCTTTCGGTGAAAAATAACTCGCCCCTTATGCCGTTTTGCAAATTTTACTGGTCACAGTCAGACGGTCTTATTTTAATTTTGCCAAAGATGGTTAGGAACGTGGCAGTCATGCGAAGTGTTGTCTATAACTGAAGGACAGGTGTATTTTTCCTATTGAACACATACTGAATGGTGTGGGGACGGGGGAGACCTTGTGCTGCTGCTCTGTGAATTCCCATCACGTGATGTCACCCAGATTATTTATGGTCGAGTTACGTTAGTTGTTCGCTCTAGAAATGCATATTTCACAACCAGCCACAGCTGAGGAAAGGGGTGATGCGAAAAACGCTTTTGTCTCGTAAATTAATCAGATTAAGATGGAGTAAGTGTTTGCGCACCGACCTGTTCACCTGCAGAGTATGTCTACAATTCACGAAGCATGTAACATAGCTTAAGATTTTAGTGTTTCAGTTTTGACTTTTCCGTATGTGCTATGTTTTTGGACTGAGACCTGAGCCTTCGCTCCTTACAGCACGTCTCTTTGAATGAAACCTCGGTCAGTATTCAGCTCACTGGAAACGAATGTGAGTTTGCGCTGCGATTCAAAAGCTGTGAAAAGTTCGGAATCATGAAGTGAATATCTAACCACTAGTAGTGAGTAGTAGGTGATTTGTTATGTTTTAGAAAAGATTCGACACTGCCAGACTCAACCAGACAGTCACCAGACAACCAGGAAAGCGTTAGACGACCGTTTCGTCCTCTTAAGACATGTCAGTAGCGCGCACCTGCTGCCATCACACATGGCTCAGAAGCATAGGTTACTGACTCGTAAGAGTAAGTTCATGTGTACGAATCCGGGAGGATTCGGCAGATGCGATACTGACGACTCGCTCTGGGATGAAACGGCCGTCTGGCGCTTTACTGGATGTTTGGTGGCTGTCTGCCTGAGCCCAACTGCGACGAACCTTCTCAAGATACCCAATAAATCGCTGTACTACTTACGACTAATCAGTAGCCGAAGCAGTAGCTTACATGCCGCCTCGATTGGTGGCGGCTTGCAAAGGAAGTCGTGGTCCTGAGGACTAGCCTTGTCATCTGCACATTAATAACATGTGTGACAGTGGAGGATAAGCCGTGTTATAGTCGTCCGCCACCAGAACTTTTGGCAAAACAGCATAAATCCCTGGCGCTTAAGAGCTAGGTCATGGGTTCTAATACGGTAGGATTCGACGGGTGCAGGCTACTGACGAATCCCAAGAGGACGGAGTCACTGTCTAGCGTTTTCATGGTGGTGTGGTGGCTGTATGGCTAAGTCTGGGTGCGGCTTATCTTCTAAACACACTGTTAGGTATTTACTGTGAAACCTGGTTACAGCGAGATCAATGTGAGCTGCCAGCTGCGTTGTTCTGTGATCGAGTATCACTTTCAACTAACAACTTAAGGAGTCCAAAGGATTGCAACGGCTTTGGAATGAACCGTGTGGAGCTAGTGATATCAGCGATGTTTCCACTCTGTACACCTCGTCGGTGAGCAGAATACCTATGTTTGCTTTAAATTAAGGCAAGTTCACCATAAATAGTTGGCAGCATAACCCGTACCTACAGGCTCTTTTAATATTCAAAGGTGAATTACTGAATACTGTATCATGCAATACATTGTAAACAGATATCATAAGACTAAATGCTCACCACCACGCCACGCCGCTTCTGTGGTAAATAATTCAACCTGAAAAATGTACTCCATGACTAAAAACTACGTTGAATGAGGCTTTGAGGGACCTTCAACAGCAACGACGTTTATGTCCCATTGCTGTTGGTATACACAAAAGCGGATCAGTTCATAAAATAGTTACTGGATTAGGGAGATGCTTTGCGGGGATGGCATATACCAGTGAAAAATTTAACTTCAGCAGCTCTATACGTGATGGAACAAGGGTATCATGCGCGTAAAAAAGGCAAAAGGCTCTGCAGGTCCCCTGGCATGACTTGTGTGAATTATATGCTTTCAAAAAAGTGATACTAAAGTGAAATGCACGTATCTGTATCCATGGTATACTCTACCTTAACACACATGTAGATAGTTTGACGCGATTTTGTGAGGATTGGTGAGCCAAATGTTCGTCTGCGTCTTGTCGACACTCGACGAACAGAAATCAAATCAAGTAATGCAGGTAGTGTAACGCATTGTCTACGTGTATTTACTGGGTGGCGTGGGCGCAGAGACGTGTTATAATTGAGGGACGCTTGATAAGAATATCACTGACACAATTGGAGTACGCCTAGGGTAACGGATTGGAACGCTGGCCAGTCGAACGGATTTTTGTTGACCTGATGGCGTTAGCTTAGCCCGGGGTACGCGCTGGCTAGACGGAAACTGAGCGAGCGTGAGAACGATCCTAGCCGCAGGTATTCGGGTAAACGCTAAGCTCTCGGAACGGACGCACACGAGAGGGGTTACGGTAGACGCTCATTAGTGACTTAGACGTGAACGCTGCCTGGCTAAAGACGCACACAAAATCAAGTGACCGACAGACTCCTAACTAAGACGAAGATGAAGCAAGACAGGTGGTCCTCTGAAGGCTCCTTTACGACCAACAAATGGCGAATCACAGCCAATAAAATGGGTTATTAAGTTAGGGAAAATAGCTACCACTACAGGGTGATAGGCTGTGAAACAGCATTGTCAACAGGTCCGCAGTTGGGCCGCTTCCCGTTGTGGTTGAACACTGCTACGTTGTGGGGGGGAATTGGACCCCGTTTTTCATAGCCATTATGCCGGGGTTTCTGACGCGTTTTTGCGGGAATATTTGACGGGCCCGCAACATAATGACAGAAATTGAAGAGCTTCCTACGGTTGAAAACTTGGAAGAGGAAATTAATTCCGGCGACTTTTTAGCCGATTGTATTGAGTAGCAAGTTTCAGCTGGTGATTGCTCCGTTTTGTGCTGTTGAAAGGTTACAGGAGGTGGAAGGCTTTTCTACATCTTTTACTGCAAAAGGAGTTAGCCTTGTGGAAGCTGATTACGTGCGCTGTACAAATTAAGTACATCCAGTCGAGGGTGGTGTATCAGGCGCAAAAGTCCCTTCACACTTTTAGTTGCTCTTTGCTGTGTGATCAGTGCAACCAGATCGTGTTTTAACAAGGTTTTCAAGTCCTGAATAGCGTACGCTACATGAGGCCTGACATACGCATTCGGCACTTGGAATAAGGTGGAGGAGACCAACCACCAGAACGCACATCTTAAGAAACCAAATGTTAGTTTGTGGTTCTGGACACCTTCAATGACTGCACCGAACAGTCGAGGTTAACTTGCATCACCAACGCAAGGTCGCGCTCCAGTGAGGCGGCTTGCAAGTTGTGGTATTCAAGTTTATATGAGTAAGTGGGCTTGTGACGTACTTGTACAATGTTTACATGTCCGAGTTAAACGTAATTAGCTTTGCCTTTTACCATTCAAAAGTACGGCCTAAGTCTTGAAACATACCGTGATCCTCCTGACAACAGCTCTCTCTCCATAACTTGGTATCTTCCTTAAAAGCGGGACATCTGGCTCTACGACATGCACCAACTAGTTGGCGAAGACTAAGAATAAGTGCGGTTCAAAAACCGCTTCTCTTGGAACATGGCAGTTTAAGTCAATAAGACCAAAACATAGGCCCCGAATCCGAAAAGGAAGCCAGCGATGAAGAAAAAAGTTACGAACCAATCAAGAACAGGGCTCAATTTCCGTACGCTGGCAACTTTTGGACTAGAATGCGGTGATCTGTGGTCAATGGGTTAATAAAAGTTGATAGATAACACTAATGTCGGTCCCACTATCTGCTATTTCGGTCCAACTGCCAGGAGCAATTTGTAGATTTGTATTACACGACCGATGCTGATGGAATCCCTGTTGCTCCAAGGATACCATGTTATATCTTCCCAAATGGCCCATTACTGTCTCAGCTACGATGGACTCCATCACTTTTGAGAGTACTGAGAGGAGAATCACTGGGTGATAATTAGAGGGCTCCGAACGGATACCACCGTTGTAAATCAGGGAATGTTACACTATTTCCACAAACTTGGAACCTGCTGTTCATTCAGGCATCGTTAGAAAAATTGGGTTAATGGCATAGCTATGCTAATAGCTGCCACCTGCGTTGCTCTCGAGTTGATGCTGTCAAGTATGAGGAAACTATGGGAGCGCAGAGAAGTAGAAGTGGCGTGTTTAACTACCGACGTCCAGGGAATGGGACAGGTATGTGACATACCGCTAGCATGCCGGAATGTCGCTGTGTTCTGGAACTGTAAAAGGTTGGTTGCCTCCCGAGCAGTATGAACACATACATTTGCTGATATGAATACAAAACGCCACGCTTCAGTTTGCCAAGGCTATTCATATGCTTAGGGTAGCTGGTTGTTAACACACAATTTTTCCGCTATGCCCTGCTGGCGTGCTAATTTGTCCTCACGGATAATTGTCGCACAGTGTTTACGATTCAGTAAATAGTTGCTCCAGTTGTCAGGGCTAGGGTTTGTTCTGTACACAGGTCACGCTGCGTCTCTTAAAACCATGCATGTTTGGGTTCTGCTCCGAAGGAATGCAAGAGCTCTTATCAAACGAAGGGTCCTACTTATCCATGCGAATTTAAACAGATCATTAAACTTGCCAGCAAGCTGCTTTCAAGTATTATCAATGGAACAGTCGTCCGAAAACTCCCAAATAGCATTTCTGACATCTTCCCTTAATATGTCCTAGTGTGTGATTTTTTGAAGGAAGTTAAAGTTTTGGTAGCTTTTCCGCATAAAGCGCATGGTCGTAAAATATTGTCACGTGATCACTCCGTCCCAGAGGGCCATACATATTTGGTTTTTCGACCGCGAGCGCTTTGTTCGTGCGCATTAAATCAAGCCCGTCACAAGGAGACCAGAAATTAACGTAGTACAGCTCTTTGAGTATCTCCTTGACCCATTGAGCTACGCTGAGTGGTGCCTCCGGGCAGCTGGAGAGCTACTCTTTCCAGCTCGATCAATGGCTAGAGGTAAGACAAATTCAGTCTCCTGGTCCTCCAGGTTGGGGGTTGGAAATGGGATAGCGTCCATTTCTGTAAAACTAAATCATTGCCAAATTCCTGCTGCCTTGCGAACAGGCTTTTGACGCAAAGGCTTTGGACGAGGACCCTAAGCGTCATGCTGTCTAGGTCTGGGCACCGTGACAGCATCAGCCACATATAACCATGACATTTTCTTCAAATATACACTTTATCTTGCATCGGCCGTCGCGCAGATTATCAAGCGTCGGCTTATCTGCTGCATACAGCACGGCGGACAAGCGAAAACATGCTACTGCTGGCGCCTTGCTTCTTCCTTTTCCACCTGTTTCTCTTACACCCATTCCGACCCTCATTACTAACCTTCCTTCTATAATTCCCATCTTAATTGACAGCAACGGAAGTGCCACTGGAGTAGAACCATCCGTAGCCACAATCCCACAGCACCTATCGGAAGCTCATCAGCAACAGCCCTAATAAGGCCACGCTAACCCGTTTCCATGGCGACGTTCAAAGTTCGCACTCTAAGACAAATATGTCGACAGGCTGCACTCGCATGCACCTTGGACACACTGGGTATTGATGCGTGTTTTGTGTCCGAAACTAGGATTATTGACCCTAATGGGGTTGTCGAATCAACTGCACCCGGCTTATCCTCTCGTTATTGGTTGCACGCATCCGGAGACGCAAATGCCGCAATTCCGGTTTAAGCTGGTGTAAGTAACATTCTAAGCTCCAAGGCTGAGCCATCGTTGGTTGATTGGATTCCGGTTAACAGCCGTTTATGTTCAGCCCGTTTGATGAGATCAGCTAAGGTGGATTCACGAAGTAGTACAAAAAGCATTTTGTCTGTGATTTTCGCTTATGCTTCCACCGACTGCAATTCTGATGCAGCCAACTACAGGTTCTATCACCAAATGAACGCTCTACTACGCTGTGCTATTACTTCAGATATTATAGTACTTGCAGGGATATGAGCGCACAAGTAGGGCATCTGAACCCTTCAGAAGCTCAGCTGGGTAGTAATTATGGGCTGAACTCCGAACGGACTGACAAAAGCGAGCGTCTGCTACAAGATTGTGCGGAGCACCAGTTGTTTCTTAGTAGCACTGCTTTTGGACACAGTGGGCGCCTAAGTGCTACTTGATGTCTTCTTGTAGATGGCCAGCGATTTACCTAAATTGACCATATAGCCATAAGTTACAGGTGGCTTGGTTCTATGCTAGATTGTCGCTCGTACTGGAACACCTGCGCCGACTCTACTCATGACCTGATACGCTGTCGTTTCTCCATGAACCTTACTGGGAGGCGCACCAAGCGTCTCCTCCGATTGGCAACTGTGAAATTGTCTCAGCCCTCGGTCAGGCAAGCCTATCAAGACGCATTGCGTAGCGAACTTTTGCTGTCTTCTCCTAATGACACTGAGTTCAGTGGAATAGGATCTCGGTCGCCATGCACGACGCAGGAGCCTCTGCTTGTGGCACTATCAATCGTCACCTCACCAGTCACTGGATATCCGAGAGGTTGGTGAAGCTGTTGGAATCTAGAAGACACCTCCCGGCTGGATCTGAACATAATGTTACCAGACGGGCTATTAGACGCGAACAAAATTGGAGATTACTTGCTGACAAGAAAGCCTGATGAACCAGTGTGGCTCCAGAAATTCAGGAGGCAGTAGCATTAGGCAATTACCGGAAGCTCTTGCAGCCC